TAAACAATTGTAAAATTTCTAATGTCATTATGAACCTAAATTATTATTTTGTTTCAGTAATTAGCGTTTAAGGTTGATGTTTCCTAATGATTAAGTATGAACAAATTGCTATTAACGGCATATTTTAAAATCGGGGATTCTAAATTTAACTCAACTTATTGTAAGAATATGTAGATAAAAAAAGTGTCGATACATGCTTTCATTTTTCTTAATAATTAAATTTAAAACTGAACTTTTCAAAATAAAGTTTTTATATTGTCATTTTCGCCAACTAGTAAAATATTTTTATAAGTTTAAAATGGTGTTTTTTTAATATACTGGCCAAGAAAGTTTTTTTAAACTATGTTTATGAAATAATGTGTTAATTGTGTAAAGTTTGAAATCTAATAACCAGAAAAAGTCTAACTTATTTTTACAAAGAGAAAGATGCAAAGTTATCATAATATCTTTGCGTGCGATCTTCCGAGATCTGTGGACACAGTGACGTCATGAGGAGGGAGATCGTGGCTTCAGCTCTAAGAGCGGAGTGAACTAGCCCTTCTATTCTCATTAGCCCTGAGTACGGCAAGCAAAAAGAAAAGATAAGCAAACATCTCTTCATATTACATTACCAGGACCGGCTATTATCCGGGAAAGGATAGAACACCTGCAGACAGAGAATAGCCCTTTGGTGGTGACAGAGGGCAGAGAAATGTGAAAACCATGGGGTGTCCCTGTCTAGCCCAATTATAATACCTAAAATGGTTGTAGATCTTAAATTTTATCAAAGGCGGCTTTCGAATTTGTTGAATGTACAAATCGAACCCCTTCTGTAAATTGGCATAAATCCTTCCTCACAGAAAGGTATTTGCCACACATGGTGGGAATCACTGTCACAAAACCTTTAAATACTAAAAATAGGAGGTGCCTCTGCCCCGCTTGAACCAATAGTAATCAATATATACACTCCATCTACTCTTTTTTTTTAAAAAAAAAACATAGTCATAAGTGTAACTAATATATACTTAAAACAAATTTTACAAGGATTTTCTTATAATCAAGAATTCAACTGTAAGTAATCATTTCTTATACATTTATATAAATGCATGAAACTAAATTTTTTAGCTCACATTATATTTTATAGGGATTGATATATTTTCTAGCAATGCCAACTGCTCCACTTTCTTTAAAATATTTTATTGAATGGTTAAAGAGTTAAAAGACGAAACCTTGCAGAATTTAAGATAATTCTGGTAAAACAAATCATACAATAAACATAACTTTTGCCCTCAATAGAAAATATTTTTCTACACGGAGCAGAGCAAATTTGCATCTCTGTATATGTAGATTGAGAGGGACGTTTACCCTCCTCCTCCTCCTCATGAGGTAATAAATTTAAATTTATAATATTTTGTTTTTGTATATAACTACTTTTATAAAAAAAAATAACATTTAATCTGTACAATGATAGTTTGGGGACAAAAAGTGAACTTGGTGTAATTAAATGCTCGTTATTATTATTATTTAGAAAAATGTCTTTAACGCGGCATTTGTTTCGCGGTATTGTTCAATATAATGAAAAAAAAACGAATGCTAAAATTTGAAATGTTGGGAACATAATTTTTTAAGTTTCCTGAAAAATTATTGCAATAAGTAAATATTTTTGTGCAAATTACGTAGCATAGGCTCAGTTAAGAGTGCCAACTACCGAGAAATAAGTTTCTTTTCATTCATTAAAAGTTAGATTTTAGGTTTAACCACTCATAAAAGTTCAATTTATTTATTTTTTCATGTATTTATTTATTGAATGAATAGATTAAGGAACGTATCACGTATCGTTAATTGCTCAAACTGATTTTTCTTGTCTCAGATATGTTATTCACACACAACTTTTATTTTAAATTAATAACTTAAGCTTAAGTTTAAATAATTCTTCTGTTTACAAATTGAGAAAAAAAAAGAGTTGTGTAATTTATTAAGACCTTACTTTGTATATTTTTAATTTCAAAGCATCTCGAACACAAAATGTTTTAATCATTTTTACTGCTATAGACATATTTTGGTAGTTATAAATTATACTTATAAAAACGGATTTTAAAAGGGTTCATGTAAAGTGTCCTTTATTTATATATTTTATTTATATATTTGTGTATTATAAATAAAGTAAAATGGAAACGAAATATTGAGACTATAATGTATATTTTATAACTATCTATTAAAGCAGCACAATAATAACAATATTTTTTTTCATTAAATAATACCCTTTTCATTAAATAATAAGTAAAAAAATTATAATAAACATCTTATAGAAAAATTAGAGCTTGTTTATTTATGAAGCATGTGCATTTTTATAATGTATTATCATAAAAATTCAAAAAGCCCTCTCTGCTCAAAATATTCAAAAAGACTTACATTTCTCCTGTTTTAAAAAAAGAACATTTTAAAACTAATTAAATGCAATTTTTGGAAGGTTAACTTTATTAAATACATTTTTTCTTTGCTATACTGGCCTGTGGACCAAATTAAAACAAGCTAATTAGTTCAAACACGTAGGAAACTACCGTAGATTTGTACTTATAACTATAAAGAAAATGATAAACTCTTTAAACAAGATCAAATTCGTGGAGATTTATTCGGATAACGGCTTTTTTTAAAAAAATACTGATGTTTAAATCCTTTATTTTATATATTAGTTACTTGCTGCTTGTAAGCTGAAGTTGCATTTTAATGGAAAGGTTCT